TGGTTGGCCTGGAACTCATAGAGAGCGGCCTGCTTCTGCCTCCCAAGTGTTGGAATCAAAGCATATGCTACCATGCTGAGCACTTTTTTCCTAACTAAAATTAAATTTATTGATTGCCTGATTGTCCATGTGCACACATGAGCTTCTGTACATGTGTGCCACAGAATGTGTGTGTGGCGGTCAGATGACAACTTATCAGGGTTTGTTCTCTTTTTACCACGTGGGAAAAAACTCATTCTTGCCCACATCCAGGCTTTGTCTTTCTCACTTCAGTTCACCCCGTGTGTAAAGCCCACAGGCACACCTAAGGACACACTCATTAACACCTGAATTGCTTCTTCATCAAGTTGAAAACACTGAATTGTTCATCACAAGTGTACCCTGGCTAACTTGATGTCCAAACACACCACTTCTTATTTTTTTTTGAAAATATAAATTATCATAAAATATGGTGGAATTCATTATGGCGTTCAGACATACATAATTAGGTTTTGTTCTTATTCATCTTCTTCCCCCAATGCCCTCTTCTGTTGGTGTCTCCCCACCTGTGGTTCTATTCCTACCCTCCAAAAGGGTCTATTTCATGTCACAAGTATTCCATCACCCTCCTTTTGGAGTCTCTCTCCTCCCTTGATGTTTCTTCTTCCCCCTCTGGGTCCCCCTTTTACTTTTGAGGTCCTCTCTATCTAGAATCTACATATGAGGGAAAATAGGTGTGCCTTTTTGAGTCTAGTCTGGCTTAATTCACCTAATGTAATGACTTCCAGGTCTGTTTTCCTGAAAATATTATATCATTTTTGTTTATAGCTGCCGAAATCCCATGGTGTGTAAATGCGTCTTCTGTATCCTTGATGCCAATAAACAGCTGGCCTGGTTCTATACCTTAGCTTTTGTGAGTAGTCCAGCAAAAAACATGAAGGGATGTGTCTTTCCTGGGTATTGCTGGACACCTTCAGCTTTACACCTATAGTTGTGTTGTATGATAGTTCTAATTTTAGTTTTACGGGAATCTCTATCTCGACTTCTGCGGTGGCTGCATCAATTATATCCCTCTACATTTTTGCTAGTATTACTGTCATGTTTTCTTGTTAGCAATTTTGAAAGGGATTAGATAGACTGTCAAAGCAGGTATGTGTGTTTCATGGGTATGTGCTTGTATGAGTACGTGCACATGTGTGCAGGTGCCTGTGGAGGTCAGGAGTTGATGGTGAGTGTCTCTTATGTTGTCTGTGATGGTTATTCTTGTCTGTAAACTTGACACACCTTTAAACTAGCTCTTGAGTTGGGAAGACACCACTTCAATCTGGGTTACACCTTCTGCTGAAAGCCATAGAAGGACCTAGAGGAAGGAAGTTTTGACTCTTTGTCTGCTTGCTCTCACCTTGTTGGCAAGTCCATTCCTTCACTGCATTAGTCTATTTCTTTGGAATTCTAGCGTACACTGAAGACCAGCTGAGACGTCCCAGTATCATGGATTGAGCAACGCTGGATTTTTGGGCTTTCCATTCATGGTCGGCCATTGCTGGGCTAGCTGGACTGCAGCTCATGAATCATTCATATATATATATATATATTTGTGTGTGTGTGTGTGTATACATATATATTTTCCTATGAGCATATGTTCATTCTAATATACAGATACACATATGTACGCATGTATATATATATAATATGTATATATATTCATTCTGTAAGTTCTGACACTCTAGAGAACTCTGACTAATTCAGATTTTGGTACCAGGAGTGTTTCTAGAGCAACAGAAGTAGATGATGAACCTTTTAAGGATCTGGAAGTGGTTTTTCAGTTTGCCAACACTCACAGTTAGCCTAGTTTCTCTCTAGTTACTAAAGCCTCTCCTGGGAGCTCAAACTTAGAGATAAAAGCATTTGATTCTTTTGATTCATCAGTTGCGGGTGGATTTATAGACTCTGTATATAAAACTTTGGACAATTTTGGAAAAATTAAGGAAGATGATGCTGCTGGTTGGTTGCTCTTAGTGTTTCTGGATAAACTGACAAAGGATAGGGATGAACTGAGTGATAAAACTGACCCAATCCAGATGTGTATAAGCAGTCTAAAGATTTTTCGGAGTGTGTCCTGGCAGAGAATCTCTCTAGCAGTCACTCGTCCAAGTTGCAGACAATCAAACTGAAGTTCTAGTATAAGGTTGCCCGAATCACAGTGCATATTCAAGTTCCAGCCATTAAAATAAGGGCATTAATGGGTAAAGAATGGGATCCTGTAACCTGGCGTGGGGATGTGTGGGAAGATACCATTGAAGTTAAGAACTCTGAATCTAAAGGGTTTTGCTAACCTGAGGAAGTAGTACCCTCAGCCCTACCCCTTGAAATACTGTGTTAGAAATTATGTCCAAATGTAGGCTAAAAATAAATAATTACCTTCTCATAGTTCTCATGTAGTTCACGAATGCAGGGGTGCCTTCCCTGGCCGGGGTGAGGAGGAGGTTCTGGTTCGGGGTCTTTTCTCTAATGTTCCAAAATTAACTAGCAAGCTCTCAACAGAGGACAGGTCTGCAAACCCCACATCTAATAGCATGTTTGCTGGGAAAGCTGAGTTTCCACTCAGCCCCCTTCAGACACAGATCAGATTGCTCCTGTAGAACTACCCCCTGCCCAGGCGGCCTCAGTCCTTCAAAATAGACTTCATTAATATTTTATACATATGTGAACTGCATTATAAAAGATTAGCAGATATTTGGAGAAGCCTACACATTTGGCAAACAATAGTGAAAAGAAATTAAATTTACTTTAGCTGCATATAGAACAGTGCTCAACTGAACACAGGCTCACGGGCTGCGAACTACTAATTTTTGATACTACAAACTGTGCCCAGATAATATTTAGGCTAAGGACTTGGCATCTTTTCCTGGCTACAAAAGAATGCTTTTTTTTTTTTTTGCTAAAACATATCAGTCACATTTATTGCTGCTCAAGAATCTGGCTAACATCCTGATAGTGTTTTATTAGATTGTCACACATCTCTACTTTTAGTGGATTTTTTTTTTTTTTGGAGACAGAATTTCTCTGTGTAGCTTTGGAGCCTGTCCTGGAACTCACTGTGTAGATCAGGCTGGCCTCGAACTCACAGAGAACCTCCTGCCTCTGCCTCCCCAGTGCTGGGATTAAAGGCATGTACCACTATCGCTCGGTTGTGGAATATGTATTTTTTTAATATTAAAACTTCTCAGTCATGGCTTCAACTCAGTTCTAGTAATGCAGGTAACTTAAAAGTGTTTATTTTACTAATTAAGTTTCCAGAGCACTCACATTACATGGTTATTTATTAAGGCATTTGAGTTAGCAGCTGCTGTGAATTAGCAATTGCTTGCTGCTCTTCTGCGTGTGAAATCTAATACATTATTTTCACTATTAAACTTTGGCATCCCCATAAATCTCATTTTTAAAGCAATCACCAATTCTCTTTCAGGAAACAGTAATTTTTCTGTTTATTTCAAAAGAGTTTTAGGGTACTGAATAACCTATAAAAAAAAAACTATGTGCAAGACACAATATTTTCTTCAGAAGTTACCCAAAGTAAGGCGCTGGTTAAAAAAAATGGGTGGGGGAGGAGGGCAACATATCCTGTGATGTTTCCATCCACTCAGAGTACATCTTCCAAAGCAGGCGTTTGAGAGTCTGCTGTTAGCCTACATGGGGCTACAACGAAGCATGTTATACATCTATTTCATCACAACACAACACACACTGTGTGTAAAACAGAATTTATTCTTTATCAGTTATTTACACTTTTGATCCAGGGCTCTTGTTTATTTTGATACTCGCTCAGCTTTTGGAGGCGCCCCATATTGGACTGTAGTCTAATTACCTTCTCTGACCATTTGTCCACCATCCCAAGCACCAGAACCCGCTAACTGGGGACTATTGCACCATGCTTTGCGGAAAGGGAAGAACGAGTTTATGCACGCGTCTAGTCTAAGAGCATTCTTCCTCGCTGTACACCTTTGATCTCAATTTCATGCCCACAGCCACCTTCCCAATAAATTTGAGTGGGACATTTAAAATCTTCCGCCCTGCTTAGCTCCTCCTACCTGCCTTTTACCTCTACCCCCAACGAACCACAGTTCCCCTTCCCAGTTCCTCCAGCAGCACGGGAAACAGCCGCCTGTATATCTTCAGTGCTTACAGAACGAAGGCTGCTTCAGCCTCCGCGGCCCAGCGTCCCCGGCCTCTCCGACTCCGCGCTCGCACCGCCTCCCGGCCTGCCCTGGGGCGCTTCCAGCCAGCGCCTCGGCCGGCCTCGCCACTTCCGGATCCCGGGTGCCTCCGCTTTACCGGTCCGCTCCCCGCCCCGAGAGCCTCGTAGCGGTCGACCCGAACTCCGAACGCGACGGCAGCGGGGATGCGGGCCTAGGGAAGCCGACATCGTCCCAGGCACTCTGAGTCGCCGTTCCCGCCCAAGTAGCCCGTCGGACCGCGAAGCGGGCACACCCGGAAGTGGCGCGGAACGCGAGCGGCGCGGCGCGGCGCGGCGTGGCCAGGTGCCCGGAGGTGGAGCTCGCGGGAGCCGCCACTTCCGGGTGTGCCCGCTTCGCGGTCCGACGGGCTACTTGGG